GCATTAATGACACCTGATACTTTATTTCCTGTCAAATGTTTGCAGAGATCATTTTTAATATGGAAAGGTATTGAGAGCCAGAAAAAGTAGTAGAAACAAAGTCAAACGAGGACCTCCAGAAGGCACTAGACTTTACTGATCTCCCAGTGAAAGCAGTGGGATCAAATTTAAAGTCTCTGGAAAAGGTCTCCAGGGCAAAGAGACATAAAATTCCTAAAATCAGCAAGAGGCCAGAGTCCGCAATACCTGAACCAAGACCACTTTCTTTCCAATCTCAATGCTTATGATTCTAACGTAGAGATTCTATTCTAGACCATCCAATTACATACTCAGGCCCTCCTACCCCCACCCTCAGTGGGACAGCTTTCTTTCTAGAGGAAGCAAGATACCCTGCCTTAAGATGACTTTGTGGAGGCTAAATCCTGGGTGAATGCATTCCAGATCAGGGGTCCTGTCTTCTGTCTCATTATTAATCAAAGGCCATACCTTTGGCACAGCATTTAGAAAATACAAGGGCTCTTGTCGCCAGCTTATAAGAATATGACAATGAGCTACCTCATCCCTGGCTCTTGCTGAGAGCTCAGCTTCCATAGCTGTGGTGTCAGCCAGGGGAAATTCATCATTTTCCCACCACTAGTTTCAGAGTCCTAGAGAAAGAAAACATAGGCTTAAACTAAATCATTCCTGGTCACTCCCAAAGAAATGGACTTCATATATAAGTAGACTTGAAGAAATTGTGGCAGAAGGCACTTGGAAGGGATTCAGACAGAGGCTACACTAGCTACACTTAGGCCAGTTAGTTTGTAGGGCTGCACCAGGGACTACAGCCAGGAAGGGGGCTAAAGCGATGGCTCAGGAGATGAGAGACCTGGTGCTCTACCAGAGAACCTGGGTTTGACTGCCTCAAAACTCCAATTCCAAGGGATTCGATACACTCTTCTGGCTCTGCAGGTACCAGGAATGCATCTGGTGCAGGCAAAACACACATAAATAATAACAAAAAGAGACAGCTAGGAGTTGTCATTCTGGAATCACACTGTTCTTAGAAACTATTCATTCCAAAGAGCCAGAATTTGGTGGGATTATTTTATAAAGCAATATATGCCACAATGCATTATTCAAAACAGTGTAAACAAGGGACAACAAGGAAGTTCAGTAGCCTGGTGTAGTGAAGGAAAAAAAGGAGCTTTGACCTTCTACATGCCAACAGTTAGAGGATCGCTGAATAAGCACTCGACTGCAAACATGAAGAAACTAACAGTACCTTATGTACTATGTAGCGAGGTCCAGAATGGGCCTTTGTCATTATTTCCCAAACATAGCATTCCAACTATATAGGTATGGAAAGTAGTCTAGCAACAACCAAAAGCATAGAGAACAAAGTGCCTATTACACAAAAACTATACCTTAAAAAGAATTATTTTTGAGATGAGGAACGGACTAGTAGCCCTCCTCTTTTCCAAAGTGCTAGAATTTCAGGCATGAGCCACCAGGCCTGGCTTGCTATTTTAAATGTTACTTTTTGGTGCTGAAACTCCAACCCAAGGTTTCATGCATGGCAAGAACACGCACCACCACTAAGCTATCCCCATCACTGGTGTCATTTATATAATAAGCAATGTGAGCATCCTTGATGGCAGGGATCAATTTCCATGGACAAAGGGATGACTGTACTTTTATATCCATATTATGAAGTCATTAAAACTACCCTCAGTGAGATTTTCTTAATGACATAGAAAACTACTTAATATGCTATCTTAAGCAAAGAGATAATATACAGACACAAAATGTACATAATATCTTAAGTAACTTAAAAGTACTTAAGTAACTTATGTGCACAGGAAGGGGGCTAATATGTAGGAAAATAACCTCAAAAAAAAATCTCTACAAGTCACTTCTGAGACAGTAGCATGTTGATCTTAATTTCTTCTTTAAAATAATTCAATTTCCAAGTTTTCACATGTACATTTACTTATTTAGGATACGTACTAGTACAGATAAGCAGTTGTCACTGTTTAACACTAAGTATGAGGTTGAGAATAGCCACCTTAACAGGTTCTAAGCTGACACAGTTAATACTGTCCCAAGGCAGAAACGTAAAACGCCATGATAGATGGTTCAGCAGCCAAGAACACTGGCTGTTCTTTCAGAGGACCTGTGTTCAATTCCTAGCACCCACATGGTGTCTGTACCTCTAGTCCTAGGATCTAATACCCTCTTCCAGACTCTGCAGGCAGCAGGCACATGCTTGGAAGAAAGACATACCTAGAAGAAAACTACACACACACACACACACACACACACACACACACACACACACACACACACACTAAGATGGAAAAAAAGCTACATGTTAAAAGTACTGCAAAGATTTACACTGTCAATAATTCTTTTTTTTTTTATTTTTTTTTTTTTTAAGATTTATTTATTACATATACAGTGTTCTGCCTGCATGTATGCCTGCAGGGCAGATGAGGGCACCAGATCTCATTACAGATGGTTTTGAGCCATCATGTGGGTGCTGGGAATTGAACTCAGGACCTCTGGAAGAACAGTCAGTACTCTTAACCCCTGAGCCATCTCTCCAGCCCCACTGTCAATAATTCTTGCCAAGAGTGATGGCACAAACCTTTAACCCCAGCACTCGGGAGGCAAAGGCAGGTGGATCTGTGAGTTCAAGGCCACCCTGGTCTACAAAGCAAGTTTCAGACAACCAGGGCTGTTACACAGAGAAATCCTGTCTCAAACAAAACAAGTTAAAAATTTTACTTTTAGGGGCTGGAGAAATGGCTCAGTGGTTAAGAGCATGAGTTGCTTATCCAGAGGACACAGGTTCAATTCCCAACACCCAACTGGCTGCTCAGAACTGTCTGTAACTCCAGTTCCAGGGGACCTGATGACCCCTTCTGGCCTCTGAAGGCATCAAGCATACACATGGTGCATGGACATACACAGAGGCAAAACACCCATACACATAAAATATAAAGAAATCTTACTTTTATTATTTGTGTGTGTGTGTTTGTGTTTGTGTTTGTGTTTGTGTGTAGGCGCGCGTGCACACACGCCTCTAAAGGCCAGAAAGGATCCCAGATTCCTTGAAGCTAGAGGCACACCTGACAAGGGTATGCCACCTGAACTTGGGTCCTTTTAGAATAGCAGCAGGTTCTTTTAACCACTGCACCATCTTCTCAATCCCTACACTATTAATAATTCTTACCTGTCATTAATTTAAAATAGAACTTAACTTACTTAATAGTCTCTAAAACACTGAATGACATCAAAATACCTAAATAACAAACCATTCTAGAACTTGTAATTTGCTCTCTGACCTTCCATGCCCCTTAGAGATTACAATCCCTACACTTGCTCTTGGTGTCCCTTGAGGACTTTAAACATACTGTCACTGGAGGCAATGGCAGGAATGTTCTTCCCCTAGAGACACATGCCTACCTGGCTATTTCCTTGGCCTCCTTCCCCAACCATTCCCTTCAAATAGACCTCCTTTGTAATAAGGCCTACATGGACCTACTCAACATGGAAGACTACCTTCCATTTTTGTACCCTACATTGCTCTAATTCTGTTCTATTTGTCACTTTCTAACAAACGATACAATTTATGTATACATACACATTATATACATATAAAGTATACACACACATATATAGTTTAATGTCTCTTTCTACTGGAAAAATAAGCCCAATAATGGAATTTTGACTTTAAGTCATGCGTATGTCCAAAGCACCTTTAAAAAAAGCATGACACACAGCAAGTGCTCAACAAATTAAGTTCAATGTATACATGAATGATGTTAATGTATAAACTGAAAAATGACATGACTGTAATGAGAGTCAATACAATTTCTAAGACATATCTACTACGTAAAATTAGACCATTTTCTATGCTTATGTAACAAATGTCAGTCATAAAATTCTTGGAAAATACATCCACCTTTATCATTCCTATTTCTTTTAGTGTACATCTACTGAAGACTTATACTGATTTATTGGAAAGGTACAATTTTATGTTGTTAATACTAAGAGAGGCTATATGACTAGAAAGGTATACTAAGTAGTTTCAAAAATATTTGGGACAAATATTAAAATGTATACAAAATTCACCACTATGTGGTCACTAAACTAAAACAGCTTTTAAAACTACTTTTGCCATAAGTACAGTTGACATGCCTGTAATCCCAGCTACATGGAAGGCTGCTAAAGCAGAAGAATCAAAAAGTTCACGACCAGCCTGGGTTACATAAAGAGAGTTCAAGGCTCAGCCTTGAATTTAGTAAGATTCTGCCTTAAAAGTAAAAATAGGGCTGGTATGAGATGGCTCCGTGGGTAAAGGCATTCATTTGCCACAACCTAAATTCAACCCTCAGATTCCACTTGGTGGAAGGAGAGAACTAATTCCTGCAAATTGTCCTCAGACCTCCACACCATGGCACGCCCAGCCCTCACCCCTAAATAAATACAATGAAAAAGAAAAAGGTAACTCGGTGGTAGTGTTTACTTTCCTAGCAGATGCAAAGCTCTGGGTTTAATCCCAAGCAACACAATAACAAAACAAAACAAACACAGTAAAACAGTGCATCTGAGTTACAGCCCTAGACCTTGCCAAAGATCCAACAAGTCTAATTCCTGACACAAACTAATAAATTTTATCTCCCCTGACTATTTCAAGTGGTATTGTTGACTGCAAATGCTTACTGCTCTTGCCAGATATTATTTAGGGATGGTGAAGCCTACTAACAGATCATACTCTGAATAAACAGGCATAGCTGAAAAAAGTGCCTAGTATTTAAAATCTGACCCACCACAACTTTTTCCCGTGATTATCAGTGACCAGACCATCCCTATTCATTTGAAAATAATCTTCTATTAATTTATACCCTTTACGTTCAGGGATGAAAGCCTAAAGGCTGAGGCAATCTCTAAAACTCCCAAATAAAACAGGTGCCACAGAAATGTAAGGAAAAGCCTCCCCAAAGACACTGTACCTCTGAATGCCGGTCTATACTTCCAGTGTCGGATCCAGAGTGCTGCTCATTTACATCATCCTCACCATCTGATCCTGAATCCCGCTCATCCTGTACTGGGGTAGCACCACCATCATCTGCTTAAAAACAAAACAAAAACCTCACTTAGGGTGTTAGATAGATGATATCTGTAATAATGTTTATGATTACAGTTAAAATGAACATCCACAATTAAGATGAGCACACCTAATATAAAAGCCAAAAGTTACTACTATTGAAGAAGCATAGCTACTGAAGCAAATGTTCTGAAGAAAACAACAGAACACTCACATAAACACCAACAACTAATACCATGTAATGTGGCACATAGAGCAATGAAAACATTTCATAAAGGCGAAGCCTAGAAAAACCACTAAATGCCAAGTCAAAATCATCTAAATAATAGTTTCAATTTTTATTGTCTATCTCTCCAGGGCACTGACCATGCTCTAATGCACTATATGACTTAACAAGTTATTTTGTTTACTATGGACTTTTTTTTGATTCATAACTGAATCTCTGGAGGCCAGAATACTGTCTGTTACATGGTATACAGGAAGTGCTTATTTATAAATGGAGAGCACAAGGAACTTTAGCCCAGAAATACTGAAAATTCAATTAATTATAAACTATAATTTTATAGAATAAATAGTAAATATGAACTGTCACCTAACCTTAACCAACACCTTAAAAATACAAAGTAAAAGTATCCGAGAGGTATTTAGGGATACTAAAAAACACGACTTGATTAGCAGTTTAAGAAATAAGTAAAAAAAAATAAATAAAAATTAAATAAACAGTCAACTACAAGAAAGCCAAAACTGCAGTATAAAAATGGATGACTTTCATGCTGATGAGATATTCTATTCATCTAAAGGGTAAAGTTTATAGCTGGGCATGGCGCAGGCCTCTAATCCCAGTGCTGGGGAGGTGGATACAGAGGCAGGAGGATCTCTGTGAGCAAATTCCAGGACAGCCAAGGCTGCACAGAGAAAACCTGTCTTGAAAAACAAACAAAAAGCCAGACATGAATAATTAATAATAATAACAACAGCTAAAAACACACCTTTAATCCTAGCATTAGGGAGGTGGAGACAGGCTGATCTCTGATCTCTGAGGATTCCAGGCCAGTCTAGTCTACAACGTGAGTTTCAGGCCAGCCAGGGCTACAGAGTGAGACTGTCTCAAAAAACAAAAAAACAAAAACAAAACCAACAACAACCAAAACAAAGAATGGTGTATTAGGGAATTGCTGCCTTTGTGCTACCTCAATTTTTCTTCTAACACAACCTACCTACGAACCATATTACACTGAATTTTTTAAACTTCATTTTAAAATGCCAATGAACTGAAAAATATTTTGAAAACGTGAAAAAAATGTTTTAAGCAAAACAGCAGCGGAGGTCCAGGACGACAGAGTCTGTCATCATCACTGTTAGGTCATTAGCAATTGAAGTCAAAACAGAAAACAGCTTAATTCTTAACCATCTATTATTGCAGTACTTTCGATACAGAAAGTCCAAAAGAAATCAGCACACAGCTGTTTTACCCCAGGCAGGCCCTTGCCTTGTTCATCTTTACACCTAACGTGCCCTAGCATAAAAGTGGAGCCGATTTAGTGTAGAAGGTACGAATGTCACTCTAAGTACCAGGGACTCGCCCTTTGCTTTAAAAAATACGCATGTAAACTTAAAGAACCTGCGCTTTCTTCCCGGGAAGCCAGTATTACGGGAGACATTAAACTAGCCCTAACTGGTAAAAAAAAAAAAAAGAGTCTAGGAAGGATCCCCGTCCCCCACCGAGCAGTTTCTTAGGATCCTGGAAAAAAAAAACTCAACTCCTGACAATCCCCGTAAAAGGACAGACCTGCCCCCTGGGAGACAGCCGCGACAACTTGAGCGAAAACCCTTGGTCACCCGGGACGACACATGCCCTGAAGACGTCCCTCTGCGGGGCTCCAGCTCCCGCCCCGCCTCGCCGGGACACCGGAGGAGGCAGGAAGGGGACATCGCCCCCCTCTCCGCCCCGGGGGGCCTCCTCTGCCCTCCCGGCCGGCGCAGCGCGGTCCCAGCCGCCCCGACCCACCTGACTGGTCCCCGCTGTAGTACTCGGAGTCCATGGCAGGCGGGCTCTCGGCGGGGAGTGTCCGCGACACGCGCCGCCCCCGTCGCGTCCTTCCCGGCGGGGTGACCTCCCTCGGCTGCGCCGCCGCGCTCCCGCCCGGTCCGGGAGCCCCGGAGAAGTCGGCAGCGGCGGGCCAAGGCGAGGCTTCGCCCCGGAGAAGCCCAGCAGCGAGCAGCCCGGGCCGGACCTCACAGGCCGGCAAAGTGAAGCTCGGCGCGCAACTTCCCAGAAGCACCTCTGGGGCCAAAATGGCGCCTGCCCCGCGACCCTCAAAGAGACGCGACGCGCAGGCGCCGTCACCCTCCCGTCGGCCAATCAGAAGGTGCGGTGCCAATGTGACGTCACGGCAGCGTCGGGGAAGGAGCCTGCTGGGAGAGTGGCGTGGGAGCGGGAAGTTCGGCTGTGCTTAAATGCCGACCGCGAGCCGGATTTGGATGTCTGTCTCCAGTGGGGGTAATGGTACTCGCTGGGCTCTGTGTCCGAGCTTGCTGTGAGGAACATTTGAGTTTCTGCGAAAAAGGAAAACCCGCTAAAATTACATTTTTTTTTTTTTT